CGTCGTCGCGGCGTCGTCGTCGTCCTTGTCCTCGTCCTCGTACTCGTCCTCGTTCCCTCGTCCTGTCCACCGTCGTGCGTTGTCCGTTGTCGTCGCGTCGTCCGTCGTCGTCGTCGTCGTCGTCGTCGTCGTCGTCGTCGTCGTCGTCGTCCGTCGTCGTTCGTCGTCGTCACGTCGCGCGTCGTCGTCGCGTCGTCCGTCATCGTCGTCGTCGTCCATCGTCGTCGTCGTCGCGTCGTCCGTCGTCGTGTTCGTCATCGCCCTCCGTCGTCGTCGTCGTCGTCGTCGTCGTCGTGTCCAGCCGAGGTGACGGAGGGAAAAACGAAAACCGACCACTTTCGAACGAAAGTGGTCGGTTTTCCCGGCGGCGAGAACTGGCCACCGCGACAGAGGATGTGAAGGCGGGCCGGCGACCGGGGCCGACCCCCTTCACATGTCCTGCTCGGATATCCGAGCAGAGGATGTGAAGGCGGGCCGGCGGCAGGGGCCGACCCCCTTCACATGTCCTGCTCGGATATCCGAGCAGAGGATGTGAAGGCGGGCCGGCGGCTGGGGCCGACCCCCTTCGAGCAGAGGATGTGAAGGCGGGCTGGCGGCCAGGGCCGACCCCTCTCACATGTCCTGCTCGGATATCCGAGAAGAGGATGTGAAGGCGGGCTGGCGGCCGGGGCCGACCCCTCTCACATGTCCTGCTCGGATATCCGAACAGAGGATGTGAAGGCGGGCCGGCGGTCGGGGCCGACCCCCTTCACATGTCCTGCTCGGATATCCGAGCAGAGGATGTGAAGGCGGGCCGGCGGCCGGGGCCGACCCCCTTCACATGTCCTGCTCGGATATCCGAGCAGAGGATGTGAAGGCGGGCCGGCGGCCGGGGCCGACCCCCTTCACATGTCCTGCTCGGATATCCGAGCAGAGGATGTGAAGGCGGGCTGGCGGCCGGGGCCGACCCCTCTCACATGTCCTGCTCGGATATCCGAGCAGAGGATGTGAAGGCGGGCCGGCGGTCGGGGCGAGCATATCCGAGCAGCGACCCCCTTCACATGTCCTGCTCGGATATCCGAGCAGAGGATGTGAGGCGGGCCGGCGGCCGGGCCGACCCCCTCACATGTCCTGCTCGGATATCCGAGCAGAGGATGTGCAGGCGGGCCGGCGACCCCCTCACATGTCCTGCTCGGATATCCGAGCAGAGGATGTGAAGGCGGGCCGGCGGTCGGGGCCGACCCCCTTCACATGTCCTGCTCGGATATCCGAGCAGAGGATGTGAAGGCGGGCCGGCGGCCGGGGCCGACCCCCTTCACATGTCTTGCTCGGATATCCGAGCAGAGGATGTGAAGGCGGGCCGGCGGCTGTGGCCGACCCCAGTCACATGTCCTGCTCGGATATCCGAGCAGAGGATGTGAAGGCGGCAACCCCTGCCGCAGGCCGCCGTTCTCCATCGCAAGAGCGCGCGCGCAGACTGGCTCGGGCTGGCGGCCGAGGCCGCTTCCCTCCACATGTCCTGCTCGGATATCCGAGCAGAGGAGAGAATGCGCGAAGTTGCTGAAGGCGCCGTGCCACAGCAGCGCCGAGCAAGATCCGCAGCATTCGCAAGCAATTCAAGACATGTCTGGAGGGGCCCCGACGACCCACTTCACATCCACTGCTCGGATGTCCGAGCAGAGGATGTGAAGGTGGTCTGATCCAGCATTCGGCCTCCATGACCATTGCCGCCGATGCCCCGGGACGTTTTCTGCATGGTCATGGAGGCCGAATGCTGGATCAGACCACCTTCACATCCTCTGCTCGGACATCCGAGCAGTGGATGTGAAGTGGGTCGTCGGGGCCCCTCCAGTCATGTCTTGAATTGCTTGCGAATGCTGCGGATCTTGCTCGGCGCTGCTGTGGCACGGCGCCTTCAGCAACTTCGCGCATTCTCTCCTCTGCTCGGATATCCGAGCAGGACATGTGGAGGGAAGCGGCCTCGGCCGCCAGCCCGAGCCAGTCTGCGCGCGCGCTCTTGCGATGGAAAGGCGGCCTGCGGCAGGGGTTGCCGCCTTCACATCCTCTGCTCGGATATCCGAGCAAACATGTGACTGGGGTCGGCCACAGCCGCCGGCCCGCCTTCACATCCTCTGCTCGGATATCCGAGCAAGACATGTGAAGGGGGTCGGCCCCGGCCGCCGGCCCGCCTTCACATCCTCTGCTCGGATATCCGAGCAGGACATGTGAAGGGGGTCGGCCCCGGCCGCCGGCCCGCCTTCACATCCTCTGCTCGGATATCCGAGCAGGACATGTGAAGGGGGTCGGCCCCGGCCGCCGGCCCGCCTTCACATCCTCTGCTCGGATATCCGAGCAGGACATGTGAAGGGGGTCGGCCCCGGCCGCCGGCCCGCCTTCACATCCTCTGCTCGGATATCCGAGCAGGACATGTGAAGGGGGTCGGCCCCGGCCGCCGGCCCGCCTTCACATCCTCTGCTCGGATATCCGAGCAGGACATGTGAAGGGGGTCGGCCCCGGCCGCCGGCCCGCCTGCACATCCTCTGCTCGGATATCCGAGCAGGACATGTGAGTGGGGTCGGCCCCGGCCGCCGGCCCGCCTGCACATCCTCTGCTCGGATATCCGAGCAGGACATGTGAAGGGGGCCGGCCCCGGCCGCTGGCCCACCTTCACATCCTCTGCTCGGATATCCGAGCAGGACATGTGAGTGGGGTCGGCCCCGGTCGCCGGCCCGCCTTCACATCCTCTGTCGCGGTGGCCAGTTCTCGCCGCCGGGAAAACCGACCCCTTTCGTTCGAAAGTGGTCGGTTTTCGTTTTTCCCTCCGTCACCTCGGCTGGACACGACGACGACGACGACGGAGGGCGATGACGAACACGACGACGGACGACGCGACGACGACGACGACGACGACGACGACGCGACGACGACGACGATGGACGACGACGACGATGACGGACGACGCGACGACGACGCGCGACGTGACGACGACGAACAACGACATACGACGACGACGACGACGACGACGGACGACGCGACGACAACGGACAACGCACGACGGTGGACAGGACGAGGGAACGAGGACGAGTACGAGGACCACGACAAGGACGACGACGACGCCGCCGACGACGACGACGACCGAAACGACGACGACCGACGGCGACCGGCGGCGACCGACGGCGACGACCGACGACCGACGAAGACGACCGACGATAGACGATGACGACGACCGACGACGATGGATGACCGACGACACGGACGACCGACGACCGACGATCGACGACCGACGACCGACGACGACGGTCGACGTCGACGACGACGACGACGACCCCTGGGTCCTGTCCCGGGGCGCTTCCTGGCCAGAATCTCGAGGCGGATCCAGCCGCGGGCGCCCCCGCCGATTCCCAGAACGGATTTGCAGCTCCCCGAAGCTTCGATCCTCGAGCCTCGATCCTCGACCCGAGGCCGCCCCCGGAGGCCCAGAAGAGGCCAAAATCGTCGACAGTGTTCGACCACCTCGACGTTTGATCGACGACGGCGGCGGCGGCGACGTCCGCTCAGACGGCATATTTAGGCAAACCCGGGTCCGAGGGTAGTAGAGTCTGGAGTCCTACTCCCAGGAGGCCCCGGAAACCCATCGTGGAGCTACGGGCTATCTTAGGGCCCTCTCGGGGCAGGCAGGCGAGCAGGCATGCGCGCGGGCGCGGACAGGCAACCTCCCCAATGCTTCCTGCCTCTCTCCCTCCCCTCCCTCCGTTCCCCTTGCCGTCCCGCTCCGCCCCTCCCACTCCCTTCCATTCCACCCCACTCTCGCGTCCGACTCCCCTCCTCGCCTCGCCTCCCCTGCCTTCCCTTGTCCCCCGTCCTGCCCTCCCGTTCCTTTCCTCCCCTCGCCTCTCCTCGCCACGCCTCGCGGGGTGGTGGATGGAGGGCCGGGGAGGCGGGGGAGAGGAAGAGGGAGAGGGAGAGAGGGAGGGAGGGAGGGATATGAGTGATAGAATAATGGAAACGGGAAGGAGATAGACGAAAGGCAGCCAGCAAGAGCAAGAGGACCATGATGATGGTGATGCTGCTGATGATAATTTTGATGATGGTGATGACGATGATTACGATGATTACGATGATGGTGACGATGGTGCTGCTGATGCTGATGCTGATGATGATGCTGCTGATGATGATGATTATGATGAACAGGGAGAGTACATGTGAGCAAACGGTCAAACTCAGAGCCTGGAGCAACATTCACTTCTAATAAGCAGGAGGCCACAGCACAGGGCCACTGGGAACCACAACCTCAAGATTGCGAACCACAGCCTCATGATTCTTGCTTTATTATGAGATATCCTACGTTCTTAGTCTGCGCTGCGCAAGTCGGTCGTGGCGTGCGCGTTTGCGCGCGCGCGTGCGTGCGTGGAATATGTGCACGTGTGTCCGTGCGTGGTGGTCTGCGGCAGTGCTGCGTTATGCCGTGCTGCCCTGCCGTGCTCCTGCGGTCTGCGTGAACGTATGTTGCCTCTGTGTGTGTGTGTGTGTGCGTGCGTGCGTGCGTGCGTGTGTGTGTGTGTGTGTCTGTGCGTGCGCGTGCGTGTGCGTGCCCCTATCTGCGCGTGCCTATGTGCGCGTGCCTCTGGGTGCGGCTGTGTGAATCGATGTTCTATGTGTTAAATGAATAAAATCAAAGACGGGGCCTTCAAGGCAACTGGTGGCCAGAAACGCAGACAGGGCCAGACGGGGCCCGCGTTACCGAAAGAAGCCGAGTCCTGAGACAGGCCCTCCCAAAGGGGCCACCTGGGCCGCCTCGCGACACGGGCCAGGGAAGGCGGACGGCAAAGCCACTAGCTCTGGCCCCCAACCTGCCCGCGCCAATCATGCAAGCACTGCGAGAACAGAAGCTGCGCATGTCCACAACCGAACTCGACTGCATTGCAAATACACCACGTGCACATTCAAATGCAGGAGACATAACCCACTGAACAACTACAGCCCCCCACCTCCAATGGGGAACAGACGTGCAAGGCGAATCATCACTCAGAAGGCATTCCGAACACGCAGGGAAAAGACGTCTCACGAGGAACACTAACCACGCTACTCCAACCACTCCTCGAATCCAAGCCTGGAGGCAGCGGCGCCCCGCCTGCAGTACCTCCAGCACTCGCTCCTTCATCCGAGGGCGCCTGCACCGTCGCGGCATCCGCTGCGAACCAAGCGCGGGCGACGGCCGCCCTCGCGCGCCACCAATCACGAGCCGCGACCTCGCCACGAGCCCTGGCGCCGCCGCCCCCACGGAAGAGGGCCTGCGGGAAGGCGTCGAGGCACGCGGCGGCGGCGGCAGCAACATGTCCAGCAGGTTCGGCAGCTGGCGGCCCCCCAACCGAGCAAGCGGTGGCCACGTCGGCCTCGCCGTCGAAGATCACGCCGTCGGAGTCGGAGCACTCGCCAGCAGCGCGCGGCGGCGCCGCCATTCCTCCGCGCCGCATCCTCCTGCTCGGGGGCCACTCCCCGCAGCAGGGCCGTCAGCGCGGGCGCGATCGCCCCCAGGCGGTCGGCCAGCTCGGCGTCGCCCACGTAGGGCGCGAAGCACCGCCGAACGGCCTCCAGCTCGCTGCGCAGGGCCGCTGCCTCCGCGAGCGCCGCCTTCACTCCGTTGTCCGCTGCCTCGAGCGCCCGCCTCCGAGCCGCAGAACGCCCCGCGCGCGTCCGCCGCGGCTCGCCGAGGCAGCGCGTGCAGCACCAGGAACACCGCCCAGCGCCCCCGCCCGCTCCATCATGCCCAAGCGCCCGCCGCCGAGCGCCGACCCAGGCTTGAGCCAAAATGACTACGGATGTGCTCCTGTGTGTTCTGCCGTGTTCCTGTGTGTTCTGCCGTGCTCCTGCGTGTCCTGCCGTGCGGCTGGTTGTTCTGCCGTGCTTCCATGTGTTATGTGTGTTCTGCCGTGCTCCTGCGCGTTCTGCCATGCTCCTGCTTGTTCTGCCGTGCTCCTATGTACTCCGCGTGTTCGGCCGTGATCCTCGTGATCCTCCGTGCTCTGCCGTGCCCCTGCGTGTTGCGGCGTGCTCCTGCGCGTTCTGCCGACAGATCTGGCGTGTACCTGTGCGTTAAAGCTAAAGTTAAAGACGGAGCCTTCAAGGCAGAAGGGCAAAAGGGGAACCCCTGCGAAACCAAAACGGGGCGGCCCCTTCGGGCCTGGGCAGGCGGAAGGGCCAAACCCCCTCAGACGCCCAACCCCCCCACCGAGGCGAGACCAGATCTACATGCAGAATGCAACTGCACGCCTCACTCAGCCTGGCCGGAGACCTGGGCCGCCTCGAGCAACCGCAGCCCCTCGGCCAGATCGCCGCTCAGGGTTGCCGCCTGGGCCGCCTTGGCCGCAGCCAGCCGCTCCAGCGCTCGCACGCCAGGGGCATCGGCCTCGAGGCTGCTTTCAGCGCCCTCGCGCCTGGAGCCCGCGCGCCCCAGCCAGGCAGCGCGCGCAGGCTCGTGCACCGCGGCCTGCTCGCTGCTGCCCGAGACCTCGTTGCGCTCCTCGGGGCCTACCTCGGAACCGTCGGCCGCGAGCGCTAGCGCGCCGTGCTCCTCCTCGGCCTCGTTCCCACCGCCGCGCCTGGAGCTCGAGCGCTCCAGCCAGGCAGCGCGCGCCAGCTCGCACTCCGCGGCCAGCTCGCTGCCGTCCGAGAACTCGTCGCGCAGGAACTGCCCGTGCTCGGACCCGAGATCCTCGAACTCAGAATCCCCCTCGAACTCCGAATCCCCCACTAGGCTGCCCCCGCTCCGCCACGGCCGCCACGCCGAGCAACACGCCGCAGCAGCGCGATCCTCCTCGGTTTCGCAGCCGAACTCCGCGATGATCTCCTCCGCCTCGGTGCTGTCGGCGCCGCCCTCGCCGCAGCCCTGCTCGGCCAGCTGCGCCACGCCGAGCTCCTCCAGCAGCGCTGCCCGGCGCGACCACTCGGGGATGTACGGCTGGGCGCTAGACGCTAGACCGCAGCGGGGTCCTCGCGGCCGCCACACGGGCGCTGGGCAGCTGCGCTGGCGCCTCGGCCACGCAAGCATCCAATGCGCACTCGATCGGCGGCTGCACTTCGCAGACGCAGGTCTCCACCTCACACACGATGGCACTCTGCGCCGCACCGCCGCGCCCATCCCCAGGAAGGGGCCCTCCTGGGAGGCGCGGCCCGCGTTGAGCCCTGCGCCATGCCTGCGGCGGGGCGTCTGCCGCCGGGGGCAGCGCTCGGCATGCCACGCGAGGTTCCGCCGCAGCCGCTGCGCCCTGGTTTCGCGGCGTCCGCGGACGCGCGCAACCAAAGCGGGCCGCGCGATGGCTTCGCGGCGGCGGGCCTCCGCCTCCGCGGCGTCGCCGCGCGAAACGCACTCCAGCTGCGCCTAGAGGCTGGCGATGACTTCCTTCGCCTCCCGCAGTTCCCTGGAGCTTGTTTTTTTATTGGGGGGGGTAACGCCCGTTACGGGGGGGGGTCCGGCCCCAAGTTGGGGGTAACGGTAACGCGCGGCGGGGCCCTCGCACGGGCCCTGGTACTTATTACCAGCACAACTGTCGGCACGGTAGGCTTCGTCGTCGTCGTCGTCGCCGCTGTCGTCGTCGTCGAAGCCGACCGTGCCTGTGCACACTACACAAGCTCTGTACACCGCGATGCCGTTGTACACCACAACTGCGGCAGAAATGGCATGTGTGTGCACCACGGCGACTGAGCACATCATGACAGGCGGGTGCACCACAGCGCCTTTGTACATCTCACTGTTGGTGCACACCACGGCGCCCGCGTGCACCACAGCTGCTGTTTCAACGCCCCGTGTTTGCACCAGAATGCCAGCGTACACCACAAAGCTTGTGTACACCTGTAAGGTACCGGCGGAGCGAAAGTCCAGAAAATCGTTCGGGGCCCAACCGTGGCCCTTTCATTATGTGAGCTGCTTGCGGATCTGAGTTTTTTTGGTTCAAAAAGCGCTCGGACCTGTTGAGCCCACAGCGCCTGTGTACTCCGTTGCGACTGTGTACATCATGGGGGTGTGAACCGTGGCGCCTGTGTATACCACATGGCATGTGTGCACCACAAAGCTTGCGTACGGTTTTTTTTGTGCGGAGTGTAAACCACGCGCCGTGGGGGCGCGCGGGGCGACGGCAGCCTAGGGAATACAGGAAGCAGGAGCTCCCTGCACAGGCACAAGGCCCTTGAGACATGTGTCGACGGCTGGAGCGTGCACGCATGTGCGCCGTCGTCGTCGCCGTCAGTTGCGACGGCGACCGGGGGGGCGACGGCGGCGGCGGCGGCGACACGGGCGGCGGCGACGGCGACCACGACGACGACGACGACGACGACGGCGGCGGCGACGACGCCGACGGCGGCAAGCGGCGGCGGCGGCGGTGAAGGTGACCGCCGCGGCCGTCACCGCCGTCGTCGTCGCCGCCGATGCCGCCGTCGCCGTCGCCGCCGCCGCCGTCTCCGCAGCCAGTTGCCGAAAGCTTCAGCAGCGCTTGGGGCCCACTTGCTGGATACACATGCGGGGGGCTGGCGTGACCAGCCGCGCGAGGTAGGAGGGCCCAGCGCTGGAAGGACATGCGGCCACATCCGCGTGCAGGTCTCGCCCAGTCCAGCCCCTTGCACCAGAACAGGGAGAATGGAGGGAGGACAGTGGTAGTAGTCATAATGATATTGTGAGAGTGCACCGGCTGGTTGCGCCATGGCTTGCCCGATGCGTTACACCACACGTTGTGCTTGCGTACAAGTGCCTGCGCCATAGGTTGAGCCGTAAACTGCGCCATAGGATGCGCTCCCAAGGCGCGCCATAGCTTGCGCCATAGGATGCTCCTCCTCCTCCTCCTCCTCCTCCTCCTCCTCCTCTTCTGCCCCCTCCTCCTCCTCATGCCCCTCCTCCGATCCCCCATCACCTCCTCCTCCGATCCTGTTCCAACCCTCCTCGTCCTCCTCGTCCTCGTCCTCCTCCTCCTCCTCCTCCTCCTCCTCCTCCCTCTGCCTCGCTTCCCCCTCCCCCCAAGAGGCGAGAGGAGGTGGAGGGCACGAGCACTGGAGGGAGTGCAGAAGCAAGGCAAAGGAGGTGGAGGGGCCAGGCCGGAACCCATTGAAGGGTTCGCGCCGAGGGATGCGAACCTCGAACCTCGAGGATCGAGGCACCCTGGCCCTCGAAGGCATTCGTCGTCGCCGCGGCTGGACGCGGCTCGGGAAACTGGTGCGTCTGAGCCCCAGTCGGGCCCCGTGGGCCCATTTTGAGTTTGCGCCGAGGTTCGAACCCCGAACCTCGAACCTCAGCACACATGTGAGCGTCACAGCATGCCTGCCTGGACGGAGGGGGGGTCCGCACCCCCGTCCCCGTACGCTCGTTACCGTTATGGGGGGGGGGGGGCCGTAACGGGCGTTACGGGTCCGAACAATAAAAAACAAGCTCCTGTCAAGCCGTCTCACCAGGTCGTCCGCTGCCCAGCGGGCCGCCGCGACACCGGTGAGCACCTCCCCCACCATTCTGCCCAAGCGCCCGCGCGCGGCGCGCGCCCGAGCACGGCTTGAACCAAAATGGCTACGGATGTGCACCCGTGTGTTAAAGTTGAAGACGGGGCCTTTCAAGGCAAAAGGGGAAACCCCTACGAAACCTAAACGGGGCGGCCCCAGCGGGCCTGGGCAGGCGGGAGGGCCGCCCCCTCAGACGCCCACCCCCCCCTCCGAGGCGAGACAGATCTACAAAAAGAATGCAACTGCGCGCCTAATCTTCGCTCCTGTGTGGTTCTGCTTCAGCAGCGCACCAAGTCAAACAGGAAAACATCAAAGTGCAAGGCCTTGGGACGGGCGAGCCCCGAACAAGCTTGCACAGCCGCGCGCGGCGAGGCCCGGGCGGAGCGCGGAAATCTACGCGCCAACGCGCCGACGGCCAGAAGGCCCGCAAGGGGTCCACAAGAGGACGCACGCAGGGACCCATCAATCATCAAGCTGGGCCAGGGCCTCGGAGCGGCGAAGCGCCTGCTGCTCGGCGAAGCTCGGCGAGCCCTGGGCCAGCCATTCGGCGCGCTGAAGGTCGTACTCGGCCGCGCGCTTACTGCCATCAGAAAACTCCTCTCTGAGGAACTGGCCATGGTCGGGTCCGAGGTCCCTGAAGACACCCGCCACGGAGGAGACGTAGGAACTGCTGTCACAATCGCGCGCGGCGGTGCACGGCGGGCCATCACCTGCAGCCGCCTCGGCGAAGAAGCTCTCCATGGAGGCCAGCACGCCGGCCGCGCGGCGACGCGCATCAGGAGGCCTGGGCGTGAAGCCAATGCCAGCTTCGCGGAGAAGGAGCAGCAGCGCGTCCTCGTCGCCAACTGCCACCGCTGCTGCCAGGAGAGGGAAGACGCGCTTCGCGAGCTCACGGCGCGAGCCGTCATCATCCACCTCGGAATCGAAGTCGCCGCCCACAACCTCGCGGTCGACGACGGCTGCCTCCGCGCTAGCCGCCACCTGGCGCTGCAGCACT